CGTAAAGGATGTAACTATAACTACTTTAATGACTTTATTAATTATAATATTTGTATCAATTGAACATTCTAAAGTGATTTTTCTCCTTTTTATGGCTTGTAGGTTCTTGATATTTGGGTGCCTGTATTGTATATTGTACCTTGTTTGGTGTTGAATATTTTTGTTTTACTGTAAATATTATTGAGTTCTGTTCTGTTCTGGCATGTACTTAAGTTACTTGGAAACAAATTGATCCTTTCAGTTTTTTTTTTTTTTTGTTTAGATTTGGTAGGCAGAACCAGAGCAGTGTATAATCTAAGGCTAATTATTTCCCACTACTGCAGTAAGACCCTTAGTATTCTAGCCAGTGCCCTGTGACTCTTGAGTTTTTCCAGTTTGGCTGATAGGAACAAGCACTATTCTTGGCCCTATGTGAGAGACCAGTATTGTGCTTTTCAGTCCTTTCAGGTGGTTCTTTCCCTGGCATAGAATAATTTCCTCATAGATATATCAGTACTGACAAGAGCTTTGTTGAATATTGAGGGAGACTTCGTGCAGGTCCCCAAAGATCTTTTCATTATGCAGTTCTGTCCCATACTCTATCTTATGACCTCTAGTCACCTAGGTTTACTCAGACTCTGCTCTGTCTCCTCTACTCAGGGCTTACCAGAGTGTGTGGGAGTTCTTCCTTCCTGTACCATGGCCTGGAAACTCTCTCGAGATAGTAACTTGGAAAAGTCAAAAGGCTAACTTCATTTGTTACCCATCTCTCAGAGATCATAGTCCTGCATTGCCTGATATTCAGTGCCTTGAAAAGCATTGTTTTATATATTCTTTTTCATTTGTTGTTGTTCTTTCAGGCCATATAGAAAATCACCCTTTGTTATTTCATTTTGGTCAGAAGTAGAAGGAAGCCCATTGACATTTTATAATCCCCAGCTATCAAGACAAATATAATTTGTAGCCCAATTTCAATTCTCATCTTTCAAAACTCTAGACACCATGACATTTATTTGATATAGTCAAATCTTTTCTAAATACCTGTGTTTGAAAATATCTAGATTCTGGCATGTAGTAGTATGAATCACATCACTAGTCAGTTTTCTGTGTAAAACATACTATCATATGTTTAACAAGAGTAGTTTAATTCAGAACTTCTTGGTTAAACTAACATTCTTTGAGAGACTCTTATTCTCTTTTTCATGTTCAATGAGGTAAAAATTTTACCCAAATTATCTATTACCCTTAGTCCAAAATAGCAAAATATTTTTATCATATCACTTAAGTGGGACATGACTAATAATTAATCAGAATTTATATGAAAAACCATCAAATAATTATTACTTATAAGTTTAGAGTAATAATTTAATATCAGCTCAGCATTTTAGCCCTTGAGTATAGGTCAATTTTTAAAACATTGTTCTGGCATCTATGTTTTCATTATAGTTCCTTTAAAAAGGGGAAACTTTAAATGATGTCTAGGTACAATTTAACTCACAAGTCATCTGTATTCTTTAAAAGAAAATGAATGTCATTTTCCAAGATCCAGTTATGTCTGAAAGCATGAAGGCACATATACAAACTGACAAAATAGGGCTGAGGATGTAGCTCAGTGGTAAAGCACTTGCCTAGCACCTCAAAAAATAATTAGAATTCAGAAGAAATGGATCAATTCCTAGGTACATATGAACTACCAAAACTGAACCAAGAACCTATAAAAACTCTGAATAATTCAATAACTGGCAATGAAACTGAAGCAGTAATAAATAACCTTCCATCTAAGAAAAGCCCAGGTCATGATGGAGTCACTGCTGAATTCTACAAGGACTTCAGGGAAGATCTAATACCGATAACCCTCAAATTCTAATGAAATTAAAAGAGCACTCCCAAAATTGTTCCTGGAAGCTAGAATTACCCTGATTCCACAAACAGACAAGGATTGGTGATTCATGTGCAGAAGATTAGATCTAGATGCATATCTCTCACTGTGCAGTAAATTAAAATCAAAATGGACCAAAGATCTAAATATTGAAACAAACACTTAACCTGTTGGAAGATAAAATAAAACTCCTGATGACATAGGCAAGGACTTTCTGAACATAACCCCAATGGCACAAGAAATAGTACCAAGAATCAACAAATGTGATCATACCAAATTAAAATGTTTCTGCACAGCAAAGGAAACAAGGAAGAGTGAAGATATAACCTGTAGAAGAGGGGGGCAGCTGTTCCTCAGACAGAGTTCTAATATCTAGAATATACAAAGAACTCAAAAAAATTAGAGCCCCAAAATAAAAGACCTAATCAAAAAATCAGCAAGTGAAATGAACAGACACTTCTCAGAAGAAGTACAAATGGCCAATAAATTCATGAATAAAGTTCAGCATAGCTGCTCATTAGATAAATGCAAATTAGAACAACACTGAGATTACATCTTACTCCAGAAAGAATGGCTACCATCAAGAAATCAAATAACAAATGCTGTGGAGGCTGCAGGAAAAAAGGAACCCTACATTGTTGGTGGGAATGTAAACTAGTGCAACTACTGTGGAAAACAGTATGGAAAGTCCTCAGAAAACTAAAACTAGAAATTCCCTTTGTCCTAGCTATTCCCCTTCTAGGTATCTTCTGGAAAAAATTAAAGGCATCATGTTACAATGATACATGCACAGCCATGTTTATAACAAGCACAATTCATAATATTTAAATTTTGGTAGTAGCCTAAATGTCCATCAACAGATGAATGGATAAAGAAAATGTAGTATCCACACACAGTAGATTATTACTCTGCTATAAAGAAGGATAAATTTGGGTAATTGCAGGAAATTGAATACACCTTGACACCATAATGTTAAGTGAGTTAAATCAGAAACAGGTTAAATGTGACATTTTAAAATATTAGAAACCCAAAATATACATAAATGGCTAAATGAAAGAGAGATAATAGGAAACAAATTTGAACTTATCCTTGTGCCAGTATGTATTTCTCATTACAAAACTTGCTGCCTCTCTACAAGCACCTATTTTCTAATAGACTTGGTATTGTTCTTTTTTTTTCCAGTGTGCCTGTGGTATCCTTGAGCTCTAGTAGGCAATTAGTATTACCTAATTTATGTAAGAATTACTGTTTAAAATTTTATAATTATTTTGGCCATGATTTTGCCTAGGCAGTGCCAGTAGAGACTCAGTTCTAGAATTATGTCACTTGGGCTTGAATCCCAGAATTTCACTTACTTGCTATTTATTCTTAGGCAAGGTAATTGAATGTCTCCTGAATCCTCATCTATATAATGGGGATAATAATAGTCATTTACTCTTGATGTTGTTGTGAGAGTTAAATTCGTTAATACATATATGCAAAGTACTTTCTGGTAAATTCTCAATAAATGGAACTGTTGGGGTGATAATGACAGTGATGATGACAATTTGGCATCATACACAACAGTATATACCAGATATTGTGTTAGGTGCTGGCCCAGATTCATAGGAGAATATTTATAATAATATTTATTTTAATATATTTTTTTATTAGTACATATTTGCCATGCAAAATATATGCCCAAGATCCCCAGAACGGCTGAGGCAGCGACAGCTGCGGTGACGCTGACAGACTGCTGGGCAGGTGGCAAGAACAGACCCCAGCAGTTGTGTAACAGCCTACGTTCGCATTTCCCTGTGGCCGCTTTTTATTTATTTATTTATTTTTGGTCACTTGACTTGTTTTCACATCTATGCATACAGATCTATCACATTTTAAAATGACTGCATAGTATTACATTATATGAAATTATTTTGTATTATTTTGTTAATGAATCCTCTGTTAAATAATATATTTTTGTTTTTACAAATAATGTTGCAGAGACATTCTTATATATACAACCATGTATGCATATTTTGTGTGACTTTCTATTAGGTAGATTCTTAGTGGTGGAGTATGCCTGTTTTAGAGTGTGTACTACCAAATTCCCTTCAATATATCATTTGAATCAGTCCTTTGTACTATAGATTGATCTTTCTAAAATGAATTTAATAGTATGATTTTCCAACTTCAAAAAAACACTGAAGATGTGATGGATTTCTATTTTCTATACAGTAAAATTTAAGTTCTTCTCAAGAATATTTAAAAGTATATAATTGGGCCCCAACCTATTTTTCCTACCATTTCCCCCCACCAACAAATATGCATTCTGTTTGAGGCAAAGTCCACCTCTTTTATAAAACCCTCCCATATGTATAGCTCTCTCCACCCCATGTAGTATAGATTTACTTTCTTCTCTGAGTTCCCCTAGTACTTACTTTACAGTCCATCTCCTAGCACTGAGTAGATTGTACTGTGCTCATGTGCTCATGTGTGTCTGTCTCCCCTGCTGCTCTGCAGACTTCTTAAGGGCAAGAACTGTGTCTTATTCATCTTTGCATCCCAGCACTTTGCACAGTGCCAGCCAGAGTGGTGCTCAACAAAAGCTTATGAAATGGGGGAAGATACTCCTGAGGTGTCGTGCTAGTGCAATAAGAACTTTGGGAGGCAGGGTAGGTAATGGAAGTTTCAAGAATGTGACAGAATAGTCAGTTTAATCCCAGGAACATGGAAGCTGGTCAGGAATGGAGAGATTGGCTTGAACTGTCAGGAGTCCTTCCATGCTTTTCCCCTCCACTACAGAGATCAGCTGCTTGATTATTTGGGTTAATAGCATTATGATTTGAGAACATTTAAAGTAGTAGATATTGGATGATAGAGGAGGGAGTTTGATTCCACTGTTCTGTGCTCTTTCTAGAATAAGATGCTTATGCTAAAAGACTCAACCCTTTCCTAGAGTAATGAATAACTTTATGAAAAATCAAAGCCTCTTCATTTTCAGGGTGTGATTCAAGTGGGAGTAGGAATGGTAAATAGGTTAGATACTTCTACTTTGCCTTTTTAGCCTGGCTTGATGGGGAAGTAGTCTACGGAAAAGCTCTAGAGCTGAGGGCCTGTTCTGGAACAAATAATCTATGTGAAATTAGTTGTTCTTTCATTTCAGGTAACTCTGGTAGTTCTCCTTGTTTGATTGCTTTGAATAAAGAATAGAAGAAAAAGAATACATCATGTCAGAGATATTAGACCTCTCTTTCCTGTCTGAGATGGAAAGGGCTTTGATCATTAATGTTCTACAGCGAGATGAGGAGCTCCGGCAAGCAGATGAGAAAAGGATTAGGTGAGTTCCAGAAAAAGTGTGGGCTCCCAGGTTTGTCCTTATGCCTCTCAGTTGACTTTCAGAGGGACCTGTGTGCTTGATGTTTACTACTCCTTGCGGGTCAAGTTAGGCTCTGACTTTGTTACTTTCACAGAGCCAAATACTCTTACTGCCTTTGCCCTTCAACTCTTCTTCATCTAACCTATGTTGATCTTCACTTGGACTTCTCTTTTGGATCTTGACAGGCGACTGAAGAGTGAGCTACTGGAGATCAAAAGGAAAGGGGCCAAGAGGGGCAGCCAACATTATAGTGACCGGACCTGTGCTCGGTGCCAAGAGAACCTGGGCCGTTTAACTCCCAAGACTAACATTTGTAGGGGTTGCAACCACTTCGTGTGTCGAGACTGCCGCATCCAGGAAAGCAATGGCACCTGGAGGTGCAAGGTGTGCACCAAGGAAATGTGAGTGTTGCCTTTGGCTGAGTAGAGAGAAGAGATGAAGCCTGTCTGTGGTATGAATTTCTCTCTTCAGCCTTTGTTGGTTGAATGACAAGTGCCATTCTTTATACATCTGTCATTTTCTTTCATTCTTTCCCAGAGAGCTGAAGAAAGCAACTGGAGACTGGTTTTATGACCAGAAAGTGAATCGCTTTGCTTATCGCACAGGCAGTGAGATAATCAGGATGTCTTTGCGTCGCAAACCTACAGGTACTGGGCCTGCCTAGAGATGGCTTCCTGCAGGACATAACCTTAGTGATAGATCTCTGGTGTGGAATTCTAGTGTGTTCTAGCTGGTGGTGTCTTAAGTTCATGAGCTCAGCCTCTGTTTTGTAATGTAAAAGATTGTATGATTATTCCTTCTGCAAGCATGATGTGTTTTGGAGAAGATATAATGAGGGTAGATGTTATTTCCTGCCTTCATCACCACCACCCTGACATGCTTTTGTTTGTCTTGAAGTGAATAAAAGAGAGACAGTAGGACAGTCCCTCCTTCATCAGACACAGATGGGTGATATCTGGCCAGGAAGAAAGATCATTCGGGAGCAACAGAAAGAGCACAGGTGAGAACCAAGTAGTTATTTATTTAAAGAAATGCTATGATGTCCTTTTAATTCTTTATTATAGTTTTTACTTTCTTCTGTTTCTAAAATAATAGATGATCTCAGATAGCTTGTTAATATCTAGAATACACAAAGAATTAAAAAAATTAGACCCCCAAAATAAACGACCCACTGAAAAATGGGCAACTGGAATGAATAAGCACTTCTGAGAAAAAAGTACAAAAATGTAATAAATGTATGAAAAAATGTTCAATATTTCTGGCCAGTAGAGAAATGCAAATTTAATCATAAAATGTTTAAGCTGTGTAGTTTACTTACTTTACTTAGCATTATGGTCTCAAGAGCATCCATTTTCCTACAGATGACTCAAATTTATCCTTCTTTATAATGGAGTAGTACTCTATTGTATATAAATACCACATTTTCTTTATTCATTCAACTGTTGATGGATATATAGTTTGCTTCTAAGATATAGCTATTATAAGTTATGCTGCTGTAAATGTGAGTATGCATGTCTCACTGGAATATTTTTTGGGAAGATACCTAGAAGAAAGTAGCTTGGTTGAGTGGAATTTCTAGGTTTAGTGTTTTTTTTTGGTTTTTTTTTTTTTTTTGAGGAATCTCCATACTGATTTCCATAATGGTTGTACTAGTTTACTTTCCCACACCAACAATGTGGAATAATTCTTTTTTTTTCCCACAGCTTCTCCAGCATTTACTATTATTTGATTTCTTGATGACAGCTGTTCTTTTTGTAGTAAGATAGAATCTCAGTGATACTTAGATTTGCATTTCTCTAGTGGCCAGGGATGTGTAACTTTTTTTTCATGTATTTATTGGCTGTTTGTACTTCTGAGAACTGTCTATTCACTGCAGTTGCCCATTTATTGATTGGGTCTTCTACATTTGCGGGGGTGTCTATTTTTTTAGTTTTAGTCCAAGGGCAATTTTTTTTGCCCATTCTGTAAGTTGTGGCCACTCGGTTGGTTGTTTTATTTGCCTAGCAGAAGCTTTTTAATTTGATATAATCCTAATTGTTGATTCTTGATGTTCTTTCTTGTATAGTTGGTGTTCTGTTCAGAAAGTCCTTGCCTACACCTACAATTTTAAAAGTTTTACCCATTTTATCTTCCAGGAAGTTAATTGTTTCTGTTTTAATGTTTAGATCTTTGAACCGATTTGATTTTAGTTTATATAGGTCTAGATTCAGTCTTCTGCGTGTGGATAGCTATCTGTCCTCTTGGGTAGGTTTTTAGTCCCTTTGTCAAAGATCAGGTGGCTGAATGTGCCTGGAGTTTTTCTCTATTCTGTTCCATTGATCCACATGTCTGTTTTTATCCCAGTACCATGCTGTTTTTGTAACTGTAGCTTGGAAATATAACTTGAAAATTGGAATTGTGATGCCTCCCACTTTGCTCATGTTGCCTAAGATTGATTTGGATATTCTGGGTCTCTTCTTCTGTATGAATTTTAGGACTGTTTTGTCTAGTTCTGTGAGGAATGCTGTTGGTAGTTTGGTTGGAATTGCAATAAGACTATATATCAGTTTTGTAAGTGTGACCATTTTGACAATGTTGGTTCTGCCTATCATGGAATACAGGATGTCTTTTCATTTTCTGATGTCTGTTTTTTTTTTTTTGGTACCAGGGATCGAACTCAGGTTCTTGCGCTTGCACAGCAGGCAGCGAAACCACTGAGCTAAATCCCTGGCCCCTGATGTCCTTTTTGATCTCCTTTTTCAGGGTACTCTAGTTTCATTGTAGAGTCTTTTACTTCCTTGGTTAGGTTTATTCCTAAATGTTTAGTTTTTCTTGATGCTGTTGTGTATGATATATTTTTTCTTCATCTCTTTCTCAGTGAGTTCATTACTGGTATATAGGAATGCTATTGATTTTTTTCTGAAGACCAGTTTTATTTAAATAAGAGATTAAATAAATTATGTATCTTCAAAACTGGAAGGGAGAAAGAAAACCAAAAACAGTTTTTTATTTCACATAGCATTGGATTGCTGTTGCTAGTAAGTTATAAGCTGTGTAGCTGGATACATGACTGTTAATATCAGGTTGGTGTTGGTTCCCTTTTCAAAAGTTTAACTAGTATCAGGCCTCACATTTTGTGGCTTGGTTGTCCCTTAGCTAGGATGGCTGGTCCCAAAGAAGACCTTGGTGGCAAGACAGATGTCTTATCCCCTCACTAGAGGAAGGTGGCCTCTGAGTTCTGTTGCCTGGTCAGGTTAGACACTAGGGCTATTAACTACCAAAGACTCCCTGTGGTGGCACAGCTGCTGCCGTTGCCTTACCCCATCTTCCAATTCAAGTGGGCTATTCAGGTGGTAACATTCTCTTAGGGCAGGGGTCCATGTAAAGGGAGAATGGAGGAGCTTCTTGTCAGACCTGTCTGTCCACAGTCTTGGGGCTCTGGGCTCAGCTGAAGCATCACCTTATTGCCTTGTTCACTGCCATGCACCTACTGCTTGAACTGTGTTCAAAGGAGGGACTTAAAGACTAGACAGCATGGTTCTTTTCACTTTATTACATGAAAGAGTTATACATTAGTCCAAATGAAAGCAGATCAAAAATGGCTACATTTATACAAGCTATGTGGTTTTTAATTTGTGACAAGGAACAGAAAGTACATTCAACTCATTGCAAAGAAAACTTCACTTAAGCTTCAAGGAGCCATAAACACATGAAACCCATGAACATTCAGTGGATTGTCCTTAGTCAGGACAGACTCTACTGGGAACTGGTATATGTTTTTGCACTGGTCACCCTGGAGCTGGATTACTTCTCTGTATTCTGAATGCTAAATTACAGTAAGATTGCAGGCATATTTCTTTTTAAACACCTTCACTGGTTTCTTTTAATCATAATCATCAGTGATCCCTTGGACAGTAGTAAGAGTCCTCCTGCCATTTCTCTGTTGAATTCTTATATGGATACATATCCTCAGTGTCAGCAGAAAGTAGATCATCACCCTTACTTGCTTCAGCAAAGAGGTCAAAATAGTGGAGTTTCTGGATAGTGGACATATGATATGATTCCTTTTCCTTGGTGGAAGTGGGCTGTGGTAGAAGGTGGGCTGAGGGAATCAAATATTGGGAAGAGAGGAATCTTACAGGGAAAGCCATTGAGTCTTTGGCAGTAGCCCAGGAACTGGCTGATTTTTTGTGTAGATTTTGTATGCTGCTACAATGTTGAATTTGGTTATTAATTGTAGAAATCTTTTGGTGGAATTTTTTTGGTCTTCTATATAAAGGATCACGTCATCTGCAAAGAATGATAATTTGATTTCTTCCTGTCCTTTACATGTCTCTTTTATTTTTTCTGTTGTCTAATTGCTCTGGCTAATGTTTTGAGTAGGTGTAGTGATAGTGGACATCCTTGTCTTGTTCCTGATTTTAGGGGGATATTTTCAGTTATTCCCCATTTAATATGTTGTTAGTAGCTTTGTTGTAAAAGGCTTTTATCAGATTGAGATAAGGTCTTTGTATACCTATTTTTTCGGGATTTTTATCATAAATGGACATTGGGTTTGTTAAAAACCTCTTTCTGAATCTATTGTGATCATCATATGATTTTGTCCTTTTTATATGGTGTATTATATTTATTGATTTGTGTATGTTGAACTAACTTTGCATCTCTGAGATGAAGCCTATTTGGTCATAATGTATGATCTTTTTGATGGTTTGCTACATTCTATTTGCCAGAATCTTATTGAGGATTTTTGCATTTGATTTATGTTCATTAAACAAATTGGCCTGTGGTTTTATTTTTAATTAGGTGCTTGTCTGGTTTTAGAATCCATAATGCTCACTTCCAGAAATGAGTTTGGAAATACTCCTTCCTTTTCAATTTCATTAATGAGTTGGAGGTTTATTGATATTATTTCCTCCCTGAAGGTTATATAGAATTCAGGAATGTATTCCTCAGGTTCTGGGCTTTTCTTAGTTGGTATGTTTTAAATTACTGCCTCAATTTTATTGAGTTATTGTATTGTTCAGAGTTTTTATATCTTCTTAGTTCAATTTTGGTAATTCACATGTGTCTAGGAATCTGCCTCTTTTCTTCAACATTCTCTAATTTGTTGGAGTAAATTTTTAATGGTAGTTAATAATGGTTTTCTGGATTTTGGCCGTGTCAATTGTGATTTGTGATTTTTCCTTTCTAATTGCATGGACGTGGGTCTTTTCTTTCCTTTTTTGATAAGTTTGGTTATGGTTTTGTCTATTTTGATTATTTTAAAAAACTGTTTCTTTAATCATTGGTTCTATGTATTTTAGTCTCAATTTCATTAATTTCTGCTCTGATCTTTATAATTTCATTCCTTGTGCTAGCTTTGGATTTGGGTTGTACTTGTTTTTCTAGGACTTTGAGGTGGATCATTAGGTTATTTAGGTTCAATTTGTTTTTCTAATGTAAGCATTCACAGCAATAAACTTCACTTTTAGTACTGCTGTCATTGAATCTAATAGGTTCTGGTATATTGTATTGGCATTACCATTTGATTGTAGGAATTGTATGATTTCTTCCTTGATTTCTTCTGTGACCCATTGAATATTCTGGAGTATGTTATTTAATACCTAGGTGTTTGTAAAATTTCTGGGTTTTTTCTTGTGATTGATGGCTAGTTTCAGTGCACTACAATCTAATTTCAATTCTTTTGCACTTCTTTAAGTAGGCTTTATGGACTAGTGTGCTGTCTATTTCGGAGAAAGTTCCTTGTGCTATTGAGAAGAATGTGTATTCTGTTGTAGTAGGAGAGAACACTCTGTAGATATCTATTAAGTCCATTTGTTCATTTCTGATATTTGTCAATTTTTGGCTTAGTTGATCTATCTATTCGTGAAAGTGGGGTATCAAGGTCACTCACTATGATTTTGTTGATGTTTGTCTTTTATGTCCAGTAGTATTTGTTTTATGAAGTTATGTGCACCAGTATTTGTTGCATATATATTTACATTTGTTATCTCTTCTTTTTAAACTGTTCCCTTGACTAAT